TGAATCGTATACGGATCCGAGCGCCTGTTTTGCATCAATAGGTTGAGCAAATCGGACAACTTCCCAGACGGGCGGAAAACCCCATGTGTCACGTTGGCATTCAGGAGAATGCGGCCTGTGGCTGGTCGGGCACTTTGAAAATACCCACGGATGACCTCGTTAAACCCGAGGGAGTGCCTCTCGTCTGGGTCGGTCAAGGAGAAGTGCCGACTGCGACCAACAGAAGCAATGTTTGCATCGGCTCGTGCCTGATAGCCGGTGATCATGCTTATAGCATCGATGGCGTCTGCATGCTTGGGGAACTTCTTGTCCCCGGTAGGATCCTGCATAGATTGTACATAGGCCCTGAGAGCATCCATATCCACGTCGGGGGCCGAATTGAACACGACGTTGTAAACGTCATGTTTACCTTCGTCGGGATATTCGACACTGACAGTCTTGTCATCCGGTAATGGGAGCGGCTTCAGAGAGCACACCTGACTCTTGAACTCTGTCACGTAGGGAATCCCTTTGCCGACTTGTTCGAGGGCGCGTTTGATGATCGTCTGAAGCTTCATGCCCTTGGCCTCAGGCACGTCACTCTTCTTGGACTTCCCACCCTTGGACGGAGACTCTTTCACCTGCAACTTTGCTTCCAAAGAGTATTTGTACAGGGGTGGTGTCTTCACGTTCAAAGCAAAGTAGTTAGTCCAGAGGACGACCTCCGTGCCTTGGGTGCCGAAGGCAGGCCGGCAAGGTAGATAGTCGTCGGCAGAGGCTTTCGAACCCTTGCTTGGTGAGATCTGGAGGCCGGACATTTTTGCCACCACGCCGCGATCCTTGATAATCTTGTCCTCAAGTTGAGTAATTTTGGGGTCTGGTTGGGGAACAATTCCATTTGGTCTATACGCTTGTTAGTATTGAAGTGTTGATGAGACATCCAGGCTTACTTGAAGACTTCGGGTTCATCCCCAAATTTGTTTTGTCCGTGTCCTCCACCGCCACCGCCGCCGCCACGCCGTCCGTATCCTCCTCCACCACCTCCTCCACGGAAGTCTCCTCTGCCCTGACCTCCGCGGTTATTACCGCCGCCGCGACCACCGCCGCGGCCGCCGCCGTATTCAACTCCTGAACTCATTCCAGTCCAGGTAGCACCGCCGCCACGGCCGCCGCCACGTCCTCCACCGCGGTCACCACGACCACGATAGTTGCCTCTGCCGCGGTCCGCCATGTTGAACTCTGCGACCGGAGAGGACTGGGAGATAAGAAATTGATCTGAAGTTGATGGCTGATCCTGAGATATGCTCAAAGGTTGATTGTAGATGTGTGGGTGCGACGGATACCAAGGGTTGATAGTCGAGTCACTATTGAAGAGGTAAGTCACAAGAAAGGAATAAATCTGTGCCAGGGAACTTGCGTAGCAACCCAAGTAGTGATGTAGCGTGCAGTTGCAAGTGAGACGAGCGCTTCCTCAACAAGTGAAGTGAAGGATCTGTAAAGGAGGATAAGATGGTGATCGCGGTGGTTCGCCAGTGTGTAAATGTAGGTGGGTAGAAGTAGTACAGTTAGATCGATCAACCAGGTGCCTTCGACTGGAACATGTATTTATATACTCGTGCGTGTTGATTTTTATATTGGGTTCAGGGAGCGAGTAGGCAACGACTTGTTCCTAGCTCGATTGCTGGAGGGGCAGCCGAGTTTGGCTAGGGAAACTGATTGACGGTAGGGGTTTTAGACGAAGAAGAACGGCGAGAACAGTAAAGTGTAGAGCTAGAGGTGATGATGCAGTGATGCGGTTGACTTCGGCGGCTGGCCGTGTCTAGTGTGAGGTAAAACGCAAACGGAATCTGATAGATGTGTGTTCTGCCGAATGGATGCAAATACAACGCGAACTGCAAGACGATGGTTTGGAGTTAATCTTACCTGAAGAACCCGATTTCTCAAGCGGGACGGATGACGCTTGGATGTGTTTGTAGTTTCTATGGTGTGATGTATTCCGTATTCGGTTTGCGTTTGGTGGTAGGTAGGGGAGGGAAACGAGATCTCCAGGGAGAAAACCAGAGATGTATTGGGTGTGTCTTTCATAGAGATTAAAGATGATAAAGGCAGAAGCAGAAATACATACATCAAACGAAAGTTGTTTGAAGAAACTGAGAGAGTGAGGCCCACTTTCCCTTTGCCAGTGAAGACGGTCGAGTAAGTACACCTAGACCTATATATCGGAAGTTACAACTACTACTTAATGCCTACGAAGTAAGTACGTATGTATACAGGTAGGTACTAATACTAATGTATTATAAGGAGCTACCTCCTTAGGTAGCAAATGCATCGAACCTATCTCACTACCGGTTGAACATTCCATTTTCTCGAAAACTCTTTCCAGTAGACCTGGGACCGATCCTGCTTCTCTTATCCTCTTGCTTTTCTTTTCTTTATTTTTCATCATGCGGTGTGCTGTAGATACCTCTTATTCCAGGATGTCGGCATCGATCCACAGTTCCCATCGGCTCCCTGGTCGGGCAGCTAAACCGTTTATGGCCCAGATCGGCAGACGCACACATGGCTCTGGGCCTCACCTACCCTGACTATGTAGTATGTAATCCCCAGCTTCCACCCCTGCTTATCATCCCTGCCTGGTACACCGTACGATAACCTAGGTTAGTAGTTCAGCTGCGTTCTTTGCTGCGATGTACTGTATGTACGTCGGTGTGTAGGTGTGCAAAGACGGATTGCACTAGAGCTGAGAGTCAGTTACCACAATCCAATATTTTGTTATGTGAACTCCCAGTACGTTTTATCGCATATACCTCTCTGGATATAAGAAGGAAATCAGACAATAGATTGAGGAGACAATAGATTGAGGAGGAAGGTGGTGTCGAAAGCAATCATAGTTCCCTGTCCTCTCAACTTTAACCAAACGAAGCAATAGCAACACTCTAACATACACCGCCTGGCCTGGGTGTCTTCATGTTCCAAGTTACATCTCGAACAAGGACCTACCTGAGCGAGTACGTACCGGACTCGTTACTACTATGTACATTGTATGTACGGGACCTGCCGGCGTACCTAGCTGTAAGTAGCAGGTACGTCGTCTTTATCAACTTTTCAAAGTGACAGGCCTTTTCCACTGGCTCCTGACTGTGACTCATCTCAACTGACAACACGCTCCCCGCAATCAGATAGCTGCCTGATACCTACCTGTTATGCTGGTGCAAACGACAAAGGAACCTCACACTACTAGGTAAGCGGGCAGGGATATTAATAAGAAATACTATCACTTACTTCGACTTCTATGTATTTGACGGAACCATGCATTGTCTGTCATGTAGGTATCACCCAACTTATGACGATTTGACATTGTGACTAACAAACGAGCTTCAGCCTTATCGACCCATCTATTGGGATTTATTGGCCGAAGCTGTTGCATGTCAAAAGCCCGATGTAGCCGCCGCGCCGCGCCACTGTTCTTTTTCAGGACCCAGATCTCCAACTTGCTGCAGCCTGCCATCCTCACCAGTTAAGTCAACGACACAAACTCCCCTCGTCTCGGGTTACATTTTAATCTCCCTGCCTGCCATCGAGGAACTACATAGAATAATACAAAGTATGAGAACTGGTTATTGTTCGAAGAACTCGACCTGATGGATACTACCATCCTTCTTACAGCCCAAGCTCAGCTTAGGTATTACTGGAAGATAGTGTTTGTATGTATGTACATACTGTGCTACCGGCTCGGCCCGCTACCATCGCCGTTTGTATCCACAGTCAATAAAACATGCCGGCTTGGAGGCTTGGAGGCTGGGATTCAAGAGCCAAACCCTCACCAAGGTGCGTTTGCCAGCACAGCGTCGGTGTGTTGCCACTACCTGTTCTCGTACCTGCATGTATCCGCCGTTGTCCTCATTGGATCGGGTCCCGGTACGATACCACTCTGGACCATATGCATACATGCACCGTTACGTAGAAACAGAAAGACGCCACTACTGCTGCATGACGACATGTAATTCCAACAACAACTGTTTATGAACATACCTTAGGTATTCAGAGATACCATGTAACTCAACACTATGGTCTCGAATGCCGTGGAACAGTTGGGTCCAGCGTATCAAAAGTTGCTCAAGCAGTAGGTACTTGTACATTACCAGAAGATGTAGGTACCGAACAGGCTGTCGCCCGATCACATGGACTATATTGCGTAATGCGAGAGAATGTCCAAGTGTGAAATCAGGATATTCGTATACGAGCAGCATGTGACTAGACACTGAATGGATGGCTAAGTCCAATGAATGAAAAGAACTTAAGCTTCTGGTTTGGGTTGAAGTCCGAGGCTGAACTATGCCAGCACTAGAGAGTTCGAAGCAGATAGCCCAGGCAATCGGCAGTATTCATCTCATGACTCAACACCATACAACTACCACCTTCAACACCTGCCGGACCGAACTGATGTCGAGCAGGTTGAAAGTGCTATTCAGCTTATCAGATCACTAGTCGTTATGATACTGTATTAATAATTGGACCCTATGGTTTTGGAGTGACTCGGTGCGTGGTGGCATTGATCCATAACCTCGCAAGCTATTCCCTCCACAACGAGCCGAGTGTAGGAATTGGTAGCAAATAGCAAGTACCTCCATATGGTCACTGCACACGTTTTTTAAGATCCAAGTTTAGAAATACATTCTACTCTAGAATTGCATACCGTGCTCTTTATACCTACCATCTTGAAATCTCTCATAACTTGGCTAAGCCGAGATAATGTCATTATACAGACTTCGATGTCACCGTGTAGCCCATTCCATCGATAAAAGAAGTTTATTACATTCGAGATGATAGATGAGCCCCCCTTATATGCATATGACCAAACCCTAGCTTACATGTACATATCCGTGCCTAGCTCTAACCTGCCTAGCGTCGCCAGGGCTTGCATGGAAAGTCCGGCACAATATCGGGGTTCCGTCCTATGTTCATATCTCCGGCATTGGATGTTGCCGATATATACCACCAAATCGTTTCGAATTTTCATCGCCCGGTTAGCTCAATCGGTAGAGCGTGAGACTCTTAATCTCAAGGTTGCGGGTATGTCTACATAATGAATGTTTGGGCTGTACCCTCTTGTTAACATTGGTGTTGTAGGTTCGACCCCCGCATCGGGCTCAATTCCTGATGCATCTCTTCAAGAGATATAACGACGACCTCAAGTGTGAGATCTTTCATTTTTGTAAAACTTCCCAGTGCTTCTAACCGACTTCGAGCAAGTCGCTCCGCAACTAACCAGATCTCTCATGGCCTGCTGTAGCAACCTCTAGAATGTCCTTCTCGAGTCCGGCAATGTGAACGAACCCAATCCCTGCCTCCTTCAGCTTCTGCTTGCTGGAGTTGTCATTGACGAACTTGTCCGGTTCGTATACTCCAACGTACACCGTCTTGATTTTACTTCCTATAGCCAATATCCTATCCACGCAAGGCAAGTTTCCGCTAAGCCTTTGAGAGCACGGCTCTACCGTCGTGTAGAGTGCGACATTGTCTGGGAGTACTTCGCCTAGGCGGTCTGCCGAAACACCAGACTTCTCCGCAAGCTTCTCGAAGCAGCACTGTTCCGCGTGGGTATTTCCAGGTAACTCAAGTGTGTAGCCTGTTGCCAATATCTTATTCGTGGCTACATCCACTACAACAGCTCCAACTCGATAATTAGTAGGCTTTGGTGGGGACTCGGTGGCTAGAGATAAGGCCAATTTCATATACGACTGGTGGTCTCCTGCCTGGATATCTCCTGCTGGAATATCGATCGCCTGAGGAGTAGTAGTTTTCATCATATTTGGACCGCTCAGGACTAGTTACTGGAGACGAGAAGAATCGAGATTGGGAAGATTTCTTATGTCGCTGTTTTTTAGATGCAATGCTGCTACGTACCACTCAGAATCCCACCCCGCTATCACAACCTTATCGATAAGCCGCATAAACCAAGATGAGAACGCGTCAAACGCGGTCCCTCCCATTTCCATTTCCATATCCATTTAGTAATCAAAGAACTCCCCTTCCCCCGCGAAGCAGCAGGTGGATGTAGTAGTTGAAACTTCAATGATCCTTCTCTATCCGCCATGGAAAACTCTGAAGGTCTTGCCGCGGGTGAGCCGCCCATCATTGACCCATACGAGGTCCTTGGTCTGGAGCGCGCCGCCAACGAGAGACAAATCAAATCAGCCTATCGCAAGCTGGCTCTTAAGAATCACCCAGGTAAGGCTTTCTATGCTGCAAATAGCACCTAGCTCTATTCTCCATTCTAAGAGATTCTTGCTCGCAGACAAGGTCCCCGAAGGCCAGAAGAAAGAAGCCCACGAGACATTTCAGTCTATAGCCTTTGCTTACGCTGTGCTGTCCGACCCGGCCAGACGCAAGCGCTACGATGAGACCGGCTCAACATCCGAGTCCGTCGTGGACTCGGACGGCTTCAGCTGGTCAGACTTCTACCGAGAGCAATACCGCGACACGGTTACTACGGACGCGATCGAGAAATTTGCCAAGCAATACAAAGGCTCCGACGAAGAAAAAGACGATATCTTGATTGCCTACGAACAGCATAAAGGCGACATGGACAAGATATACGAGTCGGTCATGCTCAGTGACGTCCTCGAAGACGACGAACGATTCCGTGAGGTCATCGATGAGGCAATTGCCAACAAGGACGTCCCGGCTTTCAAGACCTATACGAAGGAGAGCAAGAAGTCCAAGGCTGCCCGAGTTAAGGCTGCGAAGGAGGAAAGCACCGAGGCTGAGGAATACGCGAAGGAGCTAGGAGTACACGATAAGTTATTTGGCAATAAGAACAAGAAAGTTGGCAAGGCCAAGAAGGGATCATCCGAGGACGACCTGGCGGCGCTCATCCGTCGTAACCAGCAGGGTCGAGGCAACTTTCTCGACAACTTAGCAGCTAAGTACGGGGCGGCATCCAGCGCCAAGAAGGGCAAGAAGCGCGCAGTCCCGGAGGAAGCCTTCCAGGCTGCTGCGGCGAGGTTGAAGAAGGGAAGAAAGAAGTGAGAGACGGGAGGTTTCTATCAGTCTACCAGGGATTTGATCTTTCACAGCACGGCGTCTGGTATGGGGGCAGGCAATGGGATTTAGTAAAATAGGTATTGCATTCAGTTTGAGGTCTTATTGCCAACTTATTGCTTCTATTGGCTTGCACAACGAATACTGTACTTACCTTAGTATTTTGATACAAGGCGACGAATCTAACGATGGTTCTCAAGTGACTGGATGTTGCACATCTTTACCTAAGGTAGATACTTGGGATTGATAAGTTGCTGTCATCTTGGAACTTCATAGTACTGCTGAGATCTAGATAGTGGCTGAGTGGGTAGCATAGCAACCAGCCAGGTATGTAATAAGCGGGGCGACCCAAAGCATCTGTCCTGAAGCTTGAGCCTTGAGCTCTCCGCGATTTGCGATTTGTTCAAAACGCACCATCCCATCCTGGTCGATCTCCTTCCATTCCGACTGTTTTAAGACATACAGCGCCATGTTCGCTAGTATTGCTTTTCAGCAATAGTCTTGAGTTAAAATGCGATGACAAGTGCCGAACCGCTCGTGTACTATCCTGCTTATTGTTTCCACCTGTCGCCGACGATAAACAGATGGTGTCCATTGCGCGCCACCGATATCCATGGTCTTGAGAGTCGACCTGGCTTCGAAGGTACTTAAAGTGCTCGGCCCACTCTGATTGCGATCTGGAGCTTATTATACCATAGGTGACAATGTTTTCTTCTCCCTAAACCACCCTATCCGATGGGTTCGAGTCGTCGGCGTTGTAGTCGCGATCGACGAGTTCTACGGCCGCCGAGTCTTTACGGTTGACGATAGCACTGGCGAGTGCATCGAATGTTGCCTGGACATTCCGAAACCGGCCAACAGCCGCCATGAAGATGGTGCGGGAGGCGCAGCGGTCTCGACTGCTCCGGCTCCCGATGTTCACCCTGATATTGATGTCGGCATGGTTGTCGAAGTCAAGGGGAGCACGAAGCTCTTCAGGAATCAAAAGCAGGTCAAGATACAAAAACTAGAGCGGATCAAGTCCACGAACCAAGAAGTCCAGTTTTGGAACAAGATCCGCGACTTTCGACGGGATGTCCTCAGCCGACCTTGGATACTGGAGAAAAAGGAGGTGCGCCGGTGCAAGAAGCAGCATACAGCTGACGTAGAAGCTGAGGAGAAGAAGGCGAGGAAGAAGCAAATTGGGCATGGTCCTAAGGATACAGTTCAGAGTGGACGAACCAGGACCAAGAGAGCAGAAACGACAAGTGATGTCGTGAAAGGAGAGCCATCAGCCAAGTCAAGGGCTGGAAGATCGCACACTGAGGGACAATATGATGCATTAGGACTATGAAAGGTGTTTGGTTTAGTGCTCAACCCCATTCCCCCGGCTATCATTGTCAAACCCATTTGGTTTATACTATATATGCCTGGATAGGCTCAATATACCCTCCGTCGCCGAGCAGTTGAAACTGGAATGTGTGCTAACTGTGTATAACTGCCTACCTAGCTATCTTGATGGATGACCCGGACAGCGGGATCCCTCCATCCAAACTCAGGCCTGAAATAAGATCAACTCATACATGTAGGTAGTACGGGCTGTACGGATACAAGACGTATCGCGTACTTACAGTGGGGCCACCAAGTCCAAACATTCAATGTTGCTTTATCAGATGTACACACAGACACAGTAACTCATGAATGCTCCTGACATGTACGCACCACATACTTAATTTCCAAGTAGTAATTGCCAACCTGTCATGGGCTCTTGTTTTCATGAAGGCGTAGGCTCATCTAGCAAGCATCATATTTCGAAACTGTGGAAGCTTCAACGCCATGCAAGGCGACGCGGGGTCGTGTAGTCATGTATGATTTGAACCAAGTTTGTTTTATTTGGCGTTATCAATCAATCCATCTCAATCATACCTATTCCTCACGAGTCACAACAACGTCTCTTCCCCCTTCGAAAGACCTAGAATCAACTATCCAAGACCTACCTACTGACATAGCTTTATCACTCTACCTGGATATTCCTAAATTATATGAATTCAGCTCGCTCGCTCTCTCTCTCTCTGTGTATACGTCCACGGCATTCGCAACAGCTCGGTCCTTCATTCCACTGATTATTCTAGACTCTCGTTCGATTGATCTCGTCACGTAGGTAGGACCTTTCGACCCCTATTTAAGACAACCCATTCCTCATGCCATGGCTTTTGCACGTCAACTCAACGTTGTCAACCTGACTCATCCGTCGTCGGGTACGACGACACCATTCTTTGAACATCTTTACCCGCTTCATCCAAATGTTATTCAAGAATACATATAGCCCACCCATCATCCATGGGTCTGGAGCGTCGTACTTGAATGCTTGACTCTCAGACCACAGCTCTCTACGTTATCTCTATGAATTATCTTACTTCCTAATGCTCTATCACGAAACTACGATACCAAAGACAAAAGAACATTCCTAGTCGATCACCGGTTGTTTCGATACTTCGGACAAGCTCTATGAGAGCATCATAGTCACATAATAAACATAATATATTCCCTCTCATTTTCCTCGCCAACGTTATGCTGCTGCGTTGGATACTGACATTGATCCAGGTCAACTCCATCCAGACAGCCCCACCCTCGGCTTGGAAGAAGAGCGAGGCCAGATCGCATAGACAACTAGGTCTCGCGGGACGAGATCCATTTCGAGAGAGCTACTCTCCCGTTTCAAAAAGCCAGGATCCTTATCGTGAAGGCTACCAGTCTCTAATAGCTCCTACGAGTTCCACATCTTCCTCAACAGAATCCGACGCCGATTCGACCGGCACTATTGCTACAGCACTCACGACTGGTGGTGGAGTAGAAGAGACACCAGCCCCGACGGTCGTCTCAGTCTCATCTACGTCAGAGGGAATAAGCACGGCCACGATGGCTCCCTCAGTTTCGTCGTCGAACATCTTCGGGGCGCCCATTGCGACCAGCGCCCCTCATCCGTCTTTCGAAGTTCGTAAGGACCATCCTGTCGCTCGAAGAGGGATTAGTGGTCCCACACCAATAGGAACGAACAAGTTCTATGCCAACTTCTTTCTCGGTAACCAGTCACAGCCCACATATGTGCATCCATACTCGCTGGTCTG